TTAGCCGCCGAAGCCGTAGAGAGTGCGTCCCTGGCGCTTGAGAGCGTAGACCACGTCCATGGCCGTGACAGTCTTCCTCTTGGCGTGCTCGGTGTAGGTGACGGCGTCGCGGATCACGTTCTCCAGGAACACCTTCAGCACGCCGCGCGTCTCCTCGTAGATCAGCCCCGAGATGCGCTTCACGCCGCCGCGCCGGGCCAGGCGCCGGATGGCCGGCTTGGTGATGCCCTGGATGTTGTCGCGCAGCACCTTGCGGTGGCGCTTGGCGCCGCCCTTGCCGAGCCCCTTGCCGCCCTTCCCTCTGCCAGACATCCTTTCCCTTCTACTTGCTCCGAATTGTGAAGGGCAGCTCGCCGCGCCCCGGTCTTTATAGCGAGAGTTCCGACCTGATTGGAAGCAGGGGCGGGCACGGCTGCCGGGGGTGGGGCCTGTGCCCGTCCGCAGGCGCGACGAGGCGGGGCCTCCGCCGTTCTCGGGCACCTCCCCGGGGCCCCCGCCGGCGTCGCCGCGCCAGTCTCCGCCTCCGCGTCTGTCTCTGCCTCGCTCGCCTTCCCCCAGCCCCGGTGCCCGTGAAGCGCCGGGTCCCGGCATCTTTCCTTCCGGCGGCGCACAGATTTTTCTTCTCTGAGGGGCCGAGCGAACCGCTCACTGCTCAGGGAGCCTGCGGCCTTGAGGCCCCCGCAGATCGTTTTTAAGGTCATGCTGACCATGTTTCATTAGTTCGGAGGTCACATCTCGAGGACTCGGTGGTGATGCTGAGAACCGGCTGCTAAATGTAAGCACTGACAGGTCACCTCCGTGGCCTTATGCTAGTAGTTGGCTTATATGCTGTGAAGCATCAGGAAAATCACATCCGTGCCTTCACCTCAGATGACAAAGAAACATGCATGTTTTTCTAGAAACTCTCCGATGCCTGTCTCAGACTATAGTGTCACTGGTGAGTCCACAAAGGGCTTTTTCAGCATAGAACTGGACAAGACCCTTTATTTTCTATCCTGTGTCTGGAGTGTTTCTTCACATTGAGACATCCTGGTCATATTCAGAAAGTATTATAATTCCGTTTAGATCACTGCTACTAACTGGATGAAAATTAGTCATGTATGTCAAATGCACAACAAAAATGGCTACGATAGCTCTGTGCATGTGTACCTCCATGTTTTCAAAGGCCCGACATCATTCTGAATGAATAGATACCCTTTCTTTCATGTAATATGTTTTCCTTTTACAGGTGTACATTGCCAGTGACAACATTTCTCTTTGCTATTTTGGTACAACCTCATGTCTCTGAAAAATCAGTCACCGTGACTGTTAAATCTGTAACTCATTTCTGCTGGCTATCCTTGTGATCCTCCTTTTTGTAGCTCAGGGCCCACTGGGGCTATGAGATTAGCGTAATCTCAGTATGGAGAATTTGCCTGTGTTCATCATGCCTAAATACACATCATTTTCCACACAGAGACAGAGGAGAGCCCTTCAAAATGAAGGAATCGGGGAGATCTTTGTGAACTCTGACAACCCTTTGTCTCGCTGACATTGGCACTTGGCTCTGCCTCCGTCACAGTGACTCCAGGAGGGAAGGCCTGTGTAAGTGATGGGATCTAAAAATATAATGGTGAGGTAATTCTTTCTCAGCATCTTTCAGCTCACAGATTTTATGTAACAATGTCTCTGCCTGGCTCTGAAGAGTCCTGATTTCTTTTTCTCTGTTCTTTCAAATTACTTATCATTATCTCTGCTACAAATATATTCTCTTCCCTTCTCTTCAGCTGCAGGAAAGGGCGGGCGTTCAGTTCACTCTCTTTGCTGGTTGCCACTTTGCCCCACTTCATCTACACCATAGAAAGAAAGCATGTTTTCCAGCACCATTTTCTAACACGCACACAGACAGTCAATGCAGACACTTCACTGTATGTAAATGAGATTCTCCTCTATAAAAGGGATAGACTCCATGTAGTATATATGTCCATTACCCATTTTCCTATCTACCACTCCCACTGTACCTAGTCCTCAACCTTTTATAAGTAGTCATACTTAAAGCACATACTAAAGCACGAAAAATGACCGATATTATGTCCAGAGAAAGCAATCAATAAACACACAGAAGAAAAATCCATTCAGGGTTCTCCAATTCAAAGTCATCCCCTCTGATTTGGTAAGGCTCTGGCCTATGAATCACCAGGACCTAAGAGATCATTTTGATGAGATACCAGCTGTTGATTTTATGCACTTGCTTGCCCCCACCCCCGGCCTCTCTCACAGATGGTATATTGGTCCAGGAGTTATTGAACAGTTCCTGTGAGTTATTGAGTTCTTCCAGAGTTAAGATCATAAGTCTTGGTCTGGAATGCAATTCTAAGGGCAGCACATTCATTTCTCCCCACTCTGGATCCGTGCTGATATTCCTAACTGCAGGAACAAGTTCTACTACTATGCTCTTTATTCTTCCTCTGTCCAGACTTATGGCTCGTGTGTCCCCGATACTAGCTCAACAGGGCGAGTGTCTCCTTCAACACTGAAGAGACCATAACCAGTTGACTCCACTACCCTAGGGAGAAGGAGGTGACAAAACGCCCAGAACTAAGACCATTCACCATGTTAGGAGAATAAGCACATGTTGTAACATAAAAAAATAAAAAGAAAATCCTAAACCCAAACACTTTTCAAGTGTAAGAACCTTTCCTTTTCATTAACTGCTGGCCTTGTGGGCTGGTCTCTTGTTAACTGTGCAATTAGATGTTAAGATGGCACAAACTACTAATCTCAAACAGCACACAAAAGTTAAACTAGTTATTCCACTCCTCATTTAATGCATGAATCAGCCAAAACTTGATCGCATTTTCAGTGTCCAAGCCAGAAAAAAACTATGTCAGGAAGACCAAGATTTAGACTTGATAGAATTTTTATGGAAGCCAATGCTTCTTACTGGGACCAGATCATAGCAGACAAGCTGCAGGCAAAATAGGTGAAACGTATTCTTCTTCAGTGTGCCCACACTCTCATAAGCCTTTGAAGCCAGATTTCTGACTTCCTAACTGTCTGATAGCAGAGATGTTGAATGACTGGCCTCATTTGTATACTGTACTTTGTAATTGTATATTCACAATTGTATATTGTAAATCTGGGCACCAGCTGGCCCTTCCAGTGCCGCTGGCAAGCTGGATGGCATCCTAACCAAGGACAGTGCTGCTCTGGCACCAGCCCATGACTGCACAGCTACAAAGCATGTGCCGTAATAAACATAAGCTACAGCCCAGCACACTTACACACTAAACAAGTCTTCAAAACACTTTCTGCTCCCTTCTATAGGAAGACAGCCAGCCTATGTTGCTGGCACCCAAGTGCTACCTTGTGACACTCCTGCTCTAGAAAGATGGCACAAATAACCTTATCTGGAGCCAATACCTGCTTCACCCCCACACCCCTCTGCTGAGGAAAACCAGCAAGGCAGCATCACTTAACGAGAGCACCTTCACATGGTGTGTGACACAGTGCTTTGGCTCTCAGTGATAGCAGAAGTCCAGTCTACACTGTGTCTGGGTGCCACCATCATCATTTTGCCTGTGGGGCAAAAAAAATGGCTTGCCCGACAACCCAAATGACATGGAAGCCTGTCACATCAGTGCCTGGAGTGTCACCAGCCAGGGAGGTGGTAGATTGCAGACCAGCTGCATATGCACTGCATGCTCCAGAACAATTTGTCCATTCATAGGTACCAAACAGAGTTCTGGCTGGAGTGGATGGGGATGTGTACATTGGTCACATTGCTCCCTCCATCTTACCAGCGGTCACAGGGAGCACTGGCAAACAAATAGGAAAGGGCGGGAAGCAGAAAGCACGCAGAACTGCTGGCGTGTCATGGGGAGGAAGAGTGAGTTGTTCACAGCATCACCGTGTGAGCTGCTCACTGGTCTGAGCAGCCAGGCTGCAGTGCTCTTGGAGAGGCTGCTCTGAAAGGACGCTGTGGTGGCCCAATTCCTCGGCGGAATTCACTATTAAATGTAGGTGAAATAGAAGCACTATTAGTTCAGGAGAAGATGATCATCTTTGGCTGATGGAGCTTCTGCTGATGTTTCTTACCTTTCATGGACAATTTGTCTCAGGACCTGAGCACCTCAATTGCTGGTTGATGCGTACGGTCAAAGCATGCCAGGGTGGTCCAGAAGAGAGTTTGTCAATTGCCTTAGGTTAGTTTAAGAAGACCGAAGTACTTAAAGACATAAATAATTCTGTTCTTTGTTATCTGACTGACAGTGAGGACCTTTCCTTTGCCTGTGTGTAAGAAAAGTAAAAATGTGTTAACCTGGTAAACTCCCGTAGAGTAGAGAGTGCATCTCTTTTTCCTCATTAGCTGTTCTGGGAAGAGTCTTGGCCCCCTGCATTTTTCCTGTTTTTTTTCACTTTCCCAAGAAGGGCATCTTTCACAGCGCCTCCCACCTACAGACGTATGCGGGGTTTGGACTACAGGTTTTTCAATTCCCAGATGACATGCCATGTCAGTGATGAAGGGAGGCCACAGGAGGTGCCCCAACCCTTAACCAAGAGTACAGGGAGGAGCGTGCAACATTCCAGGAAGCTGAGTCTACAGGGACAGTCATCCGCTGCCCTACCCTATTTGTCCTGCCCACTACAGATGCTCAGCTATGCACTGGATTTAAAAGGCCTTGTGTGGCCTCTGTACACTTAGGAGTCATAACAACAGCAGCAACATTAGTATTATGTAGGCAGAGACTTGTTTGCTGAGCTGCAACGAGTTTGTAGTTTGGTAGGTACCACTTTAAAACTGTTTAGCTAAGGGTTAAAAGCTGCTAAACTGTGCTGGCTGGTTTGATCACGTGAGTTATTACATTTGTAACTCAGATGAAGATTGAAGTCACTGAGGGCAAGTAAGGCATGGGTGTAACGCTGTAATAGGAGTGTAATCATGGTTGCAGGGAGTATTTACCTTCTTCCTTTGGAACGTGTATGAGGGAGTGCAGCACATAATGTAAGGGTTCTCACCTAAATCTCTCTGGAAGTTGTCTCCTGAAGGAAGGAAAGGGCTGTAGTGCACAGGCTTACCAGCCATACTAAGAATCACAGATTCACAGAATGATTTGGGTTAGAAGGGACCTTAAAGATCATGTAGTTCCAACCCCCCTGCCATGGGCAGGGACATCTTTCAGTAGATCAGGTTGCTCCAAACCCCATCCAACCTGGCCCTGAACACTTCCAGGGAGGGGGTCATCCACCACTTCTCTGGGCAACCTGTTCCAGTGTTTCACAATCCTCAAAGTAAATAATTTATTCCTTATATCTAACCTAAACCTACCCTCTTT